TTTTTTATTTATTTTTTTTTAATAAGTTTTAAAAATTACAACATGAAAAAAGAAACTAAAAAAAACAAAAACTTTTTAAAAAAATTTTTTTTTGTCGGAAAAAAATGGATTTGTTTTTAAATTCTGACTTTGCCGATTTGTAAGTACGCCTCTGCCACGCCCACTCCCTGTCTCAAGCAATAATTTGAAAGGTGGATCAATTATCTATCATTTGCCGTTTACAAAATTCAATTATCTTCACTGGTTCAAAAGTTATGATTTATTACCAAAAAAAAGTCAAAAGGCGCCACTGTGAGACGGTTAAATAAATAGTTGTAAGTTTTTAATTGATTAAAAAACAAGAAAGGAAGCTAGCTTCGGCCAGCCGAAGCTTATATACCCTTGCAGATCATTCCTATTAATTAACAAATCGCAAAAATGTTCAATTTTCTTATATTTCTCCATAATTTTCCGATCGTTCCTATGGCAGCTATATGATATAGTCGTCCGATTTTGATCAAATTAAAATTGAAATTCGGAAATATTTAAAAAGAGTCATATCCTAGAGTAGAAGATAATACAATAAAAACCAAAGAAGCTAGAATTTATTTCCTATTACTTTTCCATTAATTTACCGATCGTTCCTATGGCAGCTATATGATATAGTAGTCCGATTTTTTAAATATTTAATTCGAAATTCAGAAATATTTAAAAAATAACATCCCCAAAAGTAGAAGGTAATATTTCAAAAAACACCGAAGCTAGAATTTTTTTAACGTTTTCTATTCCGATCCTTCCTATGGGAGCTATAAGATATAGTTGTCCGATCCGGTTGGTTCCGACATATATACTACCTGCAATAGAAAGAAGACTTTTGGGAAAGTTTCATTCCGATAGCTCAAAAACTGAGAGACTAGTTTGCGTAGAAACAGACAGACGGACAGACGGACAGACGGACAGACGGACGGACAGACGGACAGACGGACAGACGGACATGGCTAGATCGACTCGTCTAGTGATGCTGATCAAGAATATATATACTTTATGGGGTCGGAAACGTCTCCTTCACTGCGTTGCAAACTTCTGACTGAAATCATAATACCCTCTGCAAGGGTATAATGACTTTTTACTTTTTGTCATTCAGAAATTGTCAAAAAACTTAAAACTTAACTTTTAATCATTAACAATTGTTAAAGGACTAGTAAACAATGAGAAAACATAAATTCCATTAGGATCCGATAAGAGTGAGAGAGTAGATCTACTTGCTGCGACGTTTTTTCATAGAAAAAAGCCGAGGCCTTGCTAAAACAAATTCGATATTTTAAAAACTAAAAGTGGCTCCAACTTTTTACAAAAACCGATTTAACTAACAATATGACGCAAGTGTTAAAATAAAAAAAATTTTTTTTTTTTGTGGGGGCAATAGTTAAAAAATTTTTTTAAATCTTATTTTGTTTTTATTTTTAAGAAATTAAAACAATTTTTTTTTAAGACATTTTATTTTAAAAGGAGAGGTTTTAGAGGAATTAATGCAAAAGACATGAAGTCAATTGGATTCATATAACCGGAGATACAGATTTTCAATGAGAGGGTACTTTTTCAAATTTGACAATTTTTGGCACACTTAAAAAAATTCTAACTAGGAAAATAATTTTTTTTCGGTCAAATCCTGATACACGTGTTTACTTATTTTCCGAATAGTACGTGTAAAAAAAGTTTCAGGCAAATCAAAAATGTGAAATATTTTTTTTGGCCAAATCTGTTCGGTTTGTAAAAGAACGGCCCATATAGGTGGTCGGAGAAGGAGTGTTCGGCTCCCACTTTCCACTCTTCAAGATGGTTGAGTAGGGTGGCGGATATCAGGGTAATGTCTAAAACTTCCCTCCTATTTCTAGTGATGAAAGTAGGGTCATTACCTTTGTTGCAGATGAATAAGTTGGATTGAAGGAGATAGTCATAAAGTAACTCACCCCTTTCGTTCGTATTTGTACTTCCCCATTGTGTGTGGTGTGAGTTGGCGTCTCCACCCAGGATGAGTTCCTTAGATGAGTATGTTTGTATGAGTTGTTGTGTTATGATGTTTGGTAGTGGCCCCTCTTGGTCATGAGCCAGGTAAAACGATGATATGGTGTGATGAGTGTGTGAGTTTAGCTCCAGCCTGACCGTGGTAAGGTCGCCTTCGCTAAACTGTGGGATTAGAAATGTATTAAAGTGGGTCTTAGTGAGAATGCAGGTCCTAGGTTTACCCTTACCCTTAATGTGAAAAAGCTTGTATGTGGGGGTTGATAAGCCACAGATGTTGTCACCAACAATCCATGGCTCTTGGATGAGGACTATGTCTATTTTGCCCGTTGCCAGGCGGGTGAGGAGGGCAGCAGATGCTGCCTTGCTGTGGTGCAGATTAATCTGAAGATACTGCACCATTTTGCGGGTTGGGCTCGGGCTGGGTACCCTCTACTTCCTCCACAATGTCCTGGAGCACACTGCGGGTGCTCAACTGCTTCAGAGTCTCTGTGAGCTCCGAATCGGTCGACACGTACCCTGTGTGGAGTGACTCCTCATGCTCCATCTCGTCGTCGCTTGGGGGTTCGTAGGACGCACATGCAGCCAGATTGTCTGCCGCTAGCTTGTCCGTGTCGTATATTTGGAGTGTCGCCTTGTCGAAACCGTAGTTGACACGGTTCTGTGATGCTGCCAGGGGTTCCAGGCATGCCTGGTTGAGTAGAATCACTACGTTCATGGTGACGCGTTCAGTCTTCTCAACCTTCACCACCTTCCAACCTTCTGTTGGGAGCTTGGGGTTGAACCTTGTCAAGAGGCTAAGAATAGCCTCTGGCTCAGAGGGTTCAGACGGCAACCACACCCTCGCCCTTGGTCTGGACGGGATATCCGCTGCCTCGCAGACGGCTAGCTTGGCCCCGGGGTAGACCTCGCCAACTTTGGTAATGGCAGCCTTGTAGAGCGCTGCCGATCTCTCGTCCTCACAGGCGATCAACTTTAAGTTGCCCTGGTACCACCCTGCATCTGTGTAGTCAGGTGGTGGTCCTGGGTTTTCGTCCAGCACTTTCAAGGCCACCGTCACAAGTGCCCGCCTAACCTGACCCCACTGGTTCCTTGGGATCCTGCCGCCTTCATCGTTCTGGTCGATGACGCCGATGATCTTCCGATCCTTCACCACTTCGGCAAAGGATCTAGACCACGTGCCGCGGCTGGTTGTCTTGGCCTTCTTGCTCGCTGGTTGAGCCACTTCGATCGACCTCTCCCGCTTGTTGCTGTCGCTTGGTGCCTTTGCGGGGTCGAAGTCTGGGATTACTGCCTTTGCCCAGGCTATGTCCTCCTGGATCTTTTGGTAGTCTAATTAAATACCTTGACTTCTTTTTGAAAAATGTCAACGATTTGCTGGGCCATTTTATTAAACTGTTTAGGCTGCCAAGTAAGTCCTTTATTAAATATAATTTCAATTATTATCTGGCCAATTAGCTTCCTTTGTCGTGACACGAGACAGTTGTGAGTTCGGTAGTAGGCTTGGATGTTAACGAATTGCGTAGACAATTTCAAAATACCCAAAGCAGACACCTCCTAGTGCGCATTTACAAATCCCATATAAAAAGTACAAATTTTGGAAATATAAAATATACAATATCATCGGATTATTAAAATCAGTGTGTTATTAAAATTACATGCCTGGAAGTTGGGTTTATTTTCCTCTACATTTGTTGGACGCAAATCCTGCAATTGTATAAAATGTCTTGGAACAGAAATACATACAGAAATATACAACGCTCACCCTGTCATGAAACTGCTTTAGTTTGCTTTCGAAAATTACTCGTTTGCCAAACAAATGTTTTGGCACAATATCCCTTAAATGTTCTGCCGTCAATAAATATATGGATGTTTCATCCACTCCATGTTCTATTAAAATCGTAATAATTTAATTGACAACCAACATTACTTTTTTTTTAAATTACCTTCAAAACAATCCTTAAGAGCTTCGCAATCAAACTTTCTTAATATATTTTCCATGTCTATTAAAAAATATATAATAAATAATAAATAATATAAAATATAATAAATAATAAATAAATAATGACCAATTAGTTAATGCGCAATAGGCCAGTTGATCGAAGTTCTCCCTTAAACCCAAACGCATCCCTGCACACACATACATACATATGTTTGACAACGAAATGCGCAGTTAGGAATGCATGTACATATATAAGTATTTGGCCGCGTGCTTGTTGCACATATTTTAATAGTATATTGTTTAAGTAAGCTTCTTCACGTATAGAAATAATCAGAATACTATAAATAATATTAAGTGTTGCCGCCATAATTTAAGTTTAATTTTTATTTCAATTTGTTATATATAAGCACTCGATATACACCCCGAGGTATCGATATAATATGAAATGGTATCGATATGGACCTCATTTCACGCTCGCGAGAACCATCGCTAGAAAGAACAGAAGCGAAATAAGAGAAGAAAGAAGACAAAGTTTTTAAGCGTGCTCCGCAACGCAATTTTGTATTACACATTGATTCGGAAGCTGAAATTTAAATAAAGTTAATTTTAAACATATCGTTTATTGCTATCCACCTGTGTTTCGAGTTAGTTGTGTGGGCTGCTGTAAAACCAATTCAGTTTCGCTCTCAACATTCTTAAAAACTTTGTGTAAAAGAAAAAAAACTTTGCATAAAGAATGCGCAATTAGCCATAACATTGCCACATACCGAAAAACTTTATTCTTAAAGGCTTGTGCGACGAATTTCCAATTAGCCATAACATTGTGAAATTCTTAAAAACTTCGTGCACGCGTGGTTGCCGTTATAACAGTACAATTACGAAGCGACGCATTTGCAATTAGCCATAACATTGTGAAATTGCGATCGCATCCCTTTCTTGAACGAAAGGTGAGAGAAAACGTAATACGTAAACGGAGCCAACAAACCGCAGAAATTACGCACACAACTACAATTCCGCCACACGCCGAGTTCACATAACCGTACAAAAGTGAACAGAGATGAGCGAAGAAGTGTGCAGAATATGCAAGAAAAAAGCGACAGGAACTGAGCAAAGCTGGGTCCAATGCGACAGTTGTGACAGTTGGTACCACTTTCGCTGCGCAGGTGTCGACGACGACGTTGAGAATAGCGACTGGAATTGCGATTTGTGCCTTGCTGGAGGCAGCGACGGAATCCCACTTGGAAGGACACTGCGATCACCGCTCCCAAATCAGTTCGACAACTCCATCTTATTATCCGTAAACCAGAATAAGATCGAGCAGCAAGTGAACTCGCTCATCGATATGGATATTCCCGGCGAAGTACAGATTACCCCCGACAACAACTCTAACGTCAACAAAAACCAGCTAATGCTTGACATGTTAGAAGAAAAAAGAGCTTCCGAACAGAGATTTATAGAGAAGTATAAAATTTTACTGCAAATGAACGTACTAGGCGGATCGACAGCCGGGCTATTTCAGGCGACCCCCGCATCACCCTCCACTTCCCAAATCGCCGCAAGACAAGCTATACCCAAGGAGCTTCCTTCGTTTAGCGGGGATCCTGAGGAGTGGCCGATGTTCATCAGTACATTCGAGCACAGCACTTCCGCAGCAGGATTCTCCAACGTTGAAAACATGCTCCGTCTACAAAAGTGCCTAAAAGGCAGGGCACGCGAAATGGTAAAGGATAAGCTTCTACTTCCTAGCCTAGTTCCGGAAGTAATGAGCACGCTGAAAATGTTCTTCGGCAGACCTGAGCACATTCTGGAGAGGATGATCGACAAGGTGAGGAAGCTACCGCCGCCCAAAGAAAAATTGGAATCCATAATAGAGTACGCGCTCGCAGTGCGCAACATCTGCGCCACGATCGAAGCATGCAGCCTAGAAGCGCATTTAAACAACCCAATGTTAGTCAAGGAGCTTGTAGACAAACTTCCAAGTAACCACAAATTAAATTGGGCGATGCACTCCCGCGACGAATCAGTCCCTCCCATTAAGGCCTTCAGCGACTGGCTTTACAAAATAGCGCAGGCGGCATCGACTGTCGTGACACCGTTTTCTCACAAGACTAGTTCTGTGAATACCCACAATAGTTGCGCAGCCAGTTCGAGCCAGGGATCTGCAGTCCAGCAACAGCCTACTCCAAAGTGCATCGCATGCAAATCTACAAATCATTGGGTAACACAATGCGAACAATTTAAATCCAGCGCCGTAGAGCAGAGATGGCAAGTCGCTAAAGCCGGAAAGGCATGCTTTCGATGCTTGAAGCTTCATCGAAACAATTGTCGACTAAAGGATTGCGGAGTAAACGGTTGTACCAGAAAGCATCACCCTCTACTCCAGTCGGAAAATGTTCCCAATACAGCCAACGAAACGGGAAATCAAAGGCATGTAAGCACACACCAAGGCGATGTAGAAGGAAACCAGTTCTTCCGAATCGTACCCGTAACATTACATTATGCTGATCAAAAAATGGAAATCTTCGCTTTTTTGGACGAAGGATCATCTGTTACCCTAATAGACAAATCAATTTTTGACAAGCTCGGTATAAAAGGTTCACCGTCACCGATTTGTTTGCAGTGGACTGGAGAAACAACCCGGTTCGAAAATACTTCCGTGCGAGCATCAATCCAAATCTCAGGCGTAAGCTCAGAAAAACGTTACTGGCTCAACAACGTTCAGACTGTCCAAAACATTGCACTGCCAAAGCAAACCGTTGATATGGATGAGTTGCGCAGTAAGTACAGCTATCTAAAGGACCTGCCATTAGAGACCTACTCCACGCAGCCAATGTTATTAATTGGAACAAACAACTGGAAAATAGGCAACTGGAACGACCCAATAGCGTCAAAGTGCATGTTGGGGTGGACCATCCAGGGATCGGCAAACTCAAACCGTCACGTATCTATGCACCACTGCGATTGCAACTGGCAAGAGCTTCATGATGAAGTGAAAGAGCAATTCAACATCGAGTTAACTCCGCCTAAAAAACTCCTTTCAAGCGAGGACAAGCGAGCAGTCGAAATCCTAGAGCAGACTTGTCAGCACAAATGTGGAAAATATGAAGTTGGACTTCTTTGGCGGAATGATCTTCAAAAACTTCCCGAAAGTCGCATTACCGCTCTAAAGCGCCTACAATGCATGAGAAACAGAATTCTGAGCGAAACGGATACGTTTACGAAAATCGACGACCAAATCAAAAATCTTCTTACAAAAGGATACGCCAAGCAACTGTCCGACGAGGAGGCGGAGAAAGAAGAAACTCGCACCTGGTACTTACCAATCTTTATAGCCTTAAATCCGAATAAGCCAGGAAAAATTAGGCTAGTCTGGGACGCGGCAGCAAAAACAAATGGAATATGCCTCAACGACCTTCTGTTAAGCGGACCGGACCGCTTAAACCCACTCATCGACGTTCTTCTAGCCTTCAGAGTCGGAAAAGTCGCCGTAAGCGGCGACATCGCCGAAATGTTCCACAGGATCAACATTCGCCATGAGGACATGCATTCCCAGCGCTTTCTTTGGTACGACGCCAACCGAAACAAGATAAACACTTACGTCATGCGTGCCATGACCTTTGGTATTAGTTGCGCGCCATTCATAGCCCACTACGTGCGCGACAAAAATGCTGAAGTCCACCAGCAGCAATTCCCCTTAGCCCTGGATGCGATTCAGCGTGCGCACTACGTCGACGACTTCATCGACAGTATGAGTGATGAACAGAAAGCCATCGAAATATCCAGCCAAGTAAGAGAGGTCCACGCCAGAGGCGGATTCGAAATCCGAAACTGGGCGTCAAATTCGAGTACAGTTCTCTCGTATCTTATGAACGATGGAGACGCCAAAAATCAGGAACCAGTGCAGTTCGGCGCTACAGAAAAGGTTCTGGGTATGTACTGGGACCCACATAACGATGTTTTTAAGTTTGTTTGCAGATTCACAAGACTTAAGCGAGATGTCCTTACCGACCCTGCAGTTCCAACGAAAAGAGAAGTCCTTCAGGTTCTTATGTCGATCTTCGACCCCTTGGGCCTACTGTCATGCCATACGATCGGATTAAAAATTCTTCTGCAGAAAATCTGGCGTGCAAATATCCGCTGGGACCAAGAGCTGCCAGAATCACTGTTGGATGACTGGAACCAATGGAAGCTGTTACTGCCTCAAGTGGCAACAATTAACATTCCGAGATGCTACTCCCCAAAGATGTCTGAAGAGACCCGAATTGAACTGCACACGTTCGTGGACGCTAGCGAGCATGCTTACTCCGCTGCTTGCTACCTGCGAGTATCACAAAAAGACGAGGTGGACGTAATACTTGTGGCCGCGAAGAGCAAAGTGGCGCCACTAAAACCACTATCTATTCCTCGCATGGAGCTCCAAGCCGCCGTGATGGGCTCACGCTTAGCCAACAAAATCATCAACGTACGTAATCTTCGAGTCGACGATCTTACGTTCTGGTCGGATTCACGAACTGTTTTACAATGGCTGGTGATGGATCCTCGCAACTTTCAACAATTTGTGATGCACAGAATCGGCGAAATCCTGGAGACCACCCGAGCGGATCAATGGCGATGGGTCCCATCAAAACTCAACGTTGCAGACGCCGCAACTAAAGTTATAAAAAAACCTTGTGTGGACACATGGCTTTACGGACCCGAGTTTTTGAAAAGCAAACCCTGCAAGTGGCCAACAATTCCATCACGGGCAACGGAGATCGATACGACCGAACTACGCAGACACATCTTTACAACTCGTAATGCGAATAAAGTCTTACTCGACGTGGATTATTTCTCCGATTGGCGGCGCCTTTACAGAGCCGTCGCGAACATGTTTCTATATATCCAGCGACTACAGGCAAAGTGTCAAAGGACCTACATGGTGACAGCAGTGACCGAGTTTCACGTCAAAAAGGCACAGACCATTCTATACAAAGAAGCACAGAGGCTCGAGTTCGCGGAAGAAATCAATTCATTGAAGTGCACAAAACCAATAAGCGCAAAAAGCAGATTGACTGGCTTGAACGCATATCTGGACGACAATGGAATCCTGCGCACTAAAGGTCGAGTGAACGCAGTCGGATATACTAAGGACGCGATAATATTGCCCCCAGAGAGTCGAGTAACATTTTTATTGGTCCGGTTCTATCACGAAAAATATCATCACCTCGCTCACGAAACCGTGATAAACGATATAAAATCCAACTTTTATATTCTGCGCCTAAGAGTACTGCACAAATCCATAAGAAAAGCCTGCCAATTATGTAAAAATCGTAGCGCTATGCCACAGCCTCCACAAATGGCCGCTGTTCCAAAGGCTAGGTTGACAAGCTATGAAAAACCGTTCACGTGCACCGGCGTTGATTATTTTGGCCCTATCCTAGTCAACGTCGGAAGACGCAAAGAGAAGAGATGGGTTGCGCTGTTTACCTGCTTAACCCTGCGTGCAGTCCACTTCGAAATCGCTCACAGCCTCGATACAAGCTCCTGCGTGATGTGTTTCACCAATTTCATGGCACTTCGTGGGACACCAAGAGAAATTTACTCCGATAATGGCACGAATTTCAAGGCCACGGAAAAGACATTGCGAGAGGAGCTGATCAAGATCGACTTTGACAAAATTGCAATCAAGTTCGACGGTATTAAATGGCTCTTTAACCCTCCAGGAGCCCCCCATATGGGCGGCGCTTGGGAAAGATTAGTCCGCACTACCAAAACGGTCCTAAAAAGCATCTGCCCGAATTACTCATTCAACGACGAAAGCCTGAGGTGTGCTCTGATGGAAGCACAGTTCATCATTAACTCGCGCCCGTTAACTTTCGTCAGCCTGGACTCCGAGGACGACTCTGCGCTGACTCCAAACCACCTGCTGATGGGTTCATTAAACGGGTACAAGCCGATCAACATGAATTTAAGACGTCATTGGAACGAGGTAAAACTCTTTGGAGATCGCTTTTGGCAACGCTGGGTGAGGGAGTATACACCGGTGCTTACTAGACGCACTAAGTGGTTCGAAAAGTGTCCCCCTTTATCAGTTGGAAGCATAGTAATGATCGTCGACGAAAACATGCCTAGGAATTTATGGCTTAAAGGACGAGTGACCAACACTGTTACCGCCAAGGACGGACAAGTTCGCCGAGCGACTATTATAACGCAGTATGGAGTTCTCGATCGACCAGCTACCAAGATTGCGGTTCTAGATGTCGGCTTAGAAGATGGTAACTGACCACCCTAGGGTCAATTACAGGAGGGGGAATGTTGCCGCCATAATTTAAGTTTAATTATACCCGTTACTCGTAGAGTAAAAGGGTATATTAGATTCGTGCAAAAGTATGTAACAGGTAGAAGGAAGCGTTTCCGACCCTATAAACTATATATATTCTTGATCAGGATCACTAGCCGAGTCGATCTAGCCATGTCCGTCTGTCCGTCTGTCCGTCTGTCCGTCTGTCCGTCTGTCTGTCCGTCTGTCTGTCTGTATGAACGCTGAGATCTCGGAGATTATAAAAGCTAGAAGATTGACATTTTGCATGCAGATTCTAGGAGTTCCTACGCAGCGCAAGTTTGTTTCAAAAGGGTGCCACGCCCCCTCTAACGCCCACAATCGCTTATATACGATTTTAAAAATTTCAATATTTCGGAAAAGTAAAAATGCAGTTTTATTGTGTTTATCAATACCTAACGAAATGTAGAAGAAATTTTTTAAATCGGTCCATTCGTTAAAAAGTTACGGCGGATCAAAGTTTTTATCTTCATCCACTTCGCACTCCCTTTAGCTGAGTAACGGGTATCTGATAGTCGGGGCACCCGACTATAGCGTTCTCTCTTGTTTTTATTTCAATTTGTTATATATAAGCACTCGATATACACCCCGAGGTATCGATATAATATGAAATGGTATCGATATGGACCTCATTTTCACGCTCGCGAGAACCATCGCTAGAAAGGGCAGAAGCGAAATAAGAGAAGAAAGAAGACAAAGTTTTTAGGCGTGCTTCGCAACGCAATTTTGTATTACACATTGATTCGGAAGCTGAAATTTAAATAAAGTTAATTTTAAACACATCGTTTATTGCTATCCGCCTGTGTTTCGAGTTAGTTGTGTGGGCTGCTGTAAAACCAATTCAGTTTCGCTCTCAACATTAAGAGCTCAATTTACTTACTTGCTTTTTGTTAAGTTCTATTTATTTCGACACTTGTTTATTCACACACAACACCACAATTGAAAATTTCGAAGACAGAGTGATTGGAGATGGACGATTATTCGATCGTTCCGACGATACCGATAACCGTAGTTTTCAAATGCCTTCTGATTTTTGTATTGGATCTTTTCCATCACTAGCTTTCAAATAAGGCAAACAATATATTTAAATATAAAACTAAAAATAATAGTATAGACTAGCATTTTATTTAAAAATTAGTAATAATATTTAATATTATTATTTGATTATATCTTACCGCTAGAAAAATGAAATATCACTAAGCTAAAAATAAATTACACTGTGCAGCATTTTTAGTGCTTTTTAAATTTACCTCGATGGATGCTATATTTTTGGATTCGTTACGAATTCCCAAGTTAAACTGCGTTTTTCAAAAAGTTCCCCGACGCAAGGATTCTTAGCAAAAGGACCTCAAAGTTCGAAAAACGCTGAAATTGGCCAACTTTGCGGAGCTCTCAGAGGCAAATGGATGCATGGTTTGATTCGATGTTAAAGTTTTTTTAAAGATACGCCCTTTATCTTTTAAACCCCATACTTAAAAAATTTTTAAGATTTTTTTTAAGGCAGAAACAAATTCTAGAAAACATAGTCAAAAAACTTAAAAACATACAGCTGCGGTCAAAATAGTAGTAGTGTTGCCGCCCTGTGTTTTTAAAAGTTTGTTGTTGTAATTCATCTTCTTCTGGTGATATTGTATTGATTATAATTTTACTATTGGACTAATTGGATAAGAAACAAGAAAGGAAGCTACCTTCGGCCAGCCGAAGCTTATATACCCTTGTAGATAAAAGAATACTCACTCGGTGCAGTTCCAGGGATTCCAGATTCAGCGTTTGGATTTATTTCAGTTTTGTTTTTAAGTAGTCAAGAATCAAAACGCCTACTTCCTACAAAGTTACAATGAATTTTCTTATATTTGTTTGGGAGCCTTAAGATATAGTGGTCCGATCCGGCTGGCTCCGGCATATGTACTACCTGCAATAGAAAGAAGACCTTCGGGAAAGTTTCATCGCGATAGCTTTAAAACTGAGAGACTAGTTCGCATAGAAACGGACAGACGGACAGACGGACAGACGGACAGACGGACAGACGGACATGGCTAGATAGACTCGGCTATTGGTGCTGATCAAGAATATATATACTTTATGTGGTCGGAAACGTCTCCTTCACTGCGTTGCAAACATCTGACTGAAATTATAATACCCTCTACAAGGGTATAAAAATTACAACATCAAACTTTTAAAAACACAAGGCGGCAACACTGCTAATATTTTGACCGCAGCTGTATGTTTTTCAGTTTTTTGACTATGTTTTTTGGAATTTATTTCTGCCTTAAAAAAAATCCTAAAATTATTTTATGTATGGGGTTTGTAAGATAAAGGGTGTATCTTTTAAAAAACTTTAACTTCGAACCAAGCCATGCATCCATTTGCCTCTGAGAGCTCCGCAAAGTTGGTCAATTTCAGCATTTTTCGAACTTTGAGGTCCTTTTGCTAAGAATCCTTGCGTCGGGGAACTCTTTGGAAAACGCAGTTTAACTTGGGAATTTGTAACGAATCCAAAAATATAGCATTCATCGAGGTTAATTTTTGATGCTGCATAGTGTTATTAATTAAAATAACTAAATAAGAAATATAAAATATTAAACATTGAAGTATTCGCGATTATTTAAACTAGCTTTAGATTTAACACAATTATAATTAAATTTGTGAATTAGAGTTAGGGCTAGTACTCAACCCAACAAAAAGTCGTCAAAAACAAAAACTTCATATGAAACAAAATTTTTTGACGTAGTTTTTCATATGAAGTTTTTTGTTTTAGACGACTTTTTGTTGGGTTGAGTACTAAGCCTTAAGTTAAAATTATTGACACAAAATTAACTTGTCCTGTGTGACTAGCGCATTAAATTATAAGTACTACACTTAGGAAGAAGAACTGTAATAAGTTTAAATTTGTTTAAGATTGCATATATTTATAAATTGTTGGTAAAATCGACTTGAAACTGTTGCTAAATTTTAGGCAGAGTAGACTAGTAGACTAATTTTATGGTTACGATGGCCTAAAAAAATGTTTCTTGTATTACCTAAAAAGTAGAAACATAGTCCACATGCCAATATTTTCAGGTAACCCATTACCTAAAACTGAAAATTTAGTCTATTAAAAATTTTTAGGTCATGTATTACCTAAAAATTAGTCCCGCATTTCTCTGGGTGTAGCAATTTAAAATTAGGTTCGAATACATAAATTAAGAAGTTTCTTTTATATAAAATATTTCTAACTTTTATATATGCGTAACAAGTTAGGTTTGTATCCTGAAAAAATATGTTTAGTTCTTCGCTGTAAATTGAATTTAATGCCAGACACTTCGTTTTGCTAAATTTTAATGAACTCTTTTCAACATTTATCAACATATTGGAAAATTTAAGACAAATTTTAATTGATAGCGACATAAGTATATTTCTTCTAGAAGATATATTTTGGCAATAAGATTTTAAACTTTTTTGCTTGGCCATAAATATTTCAAAGGACCTGATTGCTCAATGATTCTGACATAGTGCGTAAGGAAATGGTGCTTTGGCTTAAGCGTGTCATTAAATAATTGAGGATATTCTCGATTGTGGCTTTGAATTATTTGGCTCAAGCATTTCAAGTCCTCTTTGGAGTATTCTGAAAACGTTAAAACATCAACTAGTTTTAAAAGATTTTTAAAAAATTTCCAAACATTATCTTCCTCATGTATAAAGTCTCCTATCATAAGTGGCAAATACGTCGCAAATGTTAACAGCTCTCTGGCAGTGGCCTTTATGTTAAATTTTCTTAAATTATTTATATTAAAGTCCGGGCACAAATTTCCGATTTCTAATTCCCCATATTCGAAGTTTGATTTCCGGATATTTAAAACGTCTACACACAAAAAAATTTTCTTGGTAAAATTCACCAACAAAGATAGTTACGTAACTATTAAAATAGTTACGTTTATTTTGTTTTTGCTTTGGGTTTGTGTCTTTGGTAATTGTGTGTATTTTGTTGTTGTGAAATGACTATTTACTTAGTAGAATTGACAATTTTGCTGGTTGGGGCCTGTTTGACAATTATTGCAGTTGATTTTACCAAGTTTTTTTTTTGTGTATATCAAACACACCTTTATCTACATAATATAACAATATGTGGCAAATATCATATTTAAGGACTTCTTCAAAAATATCGTGTAAAATGTCCACTGAAAAGTTAGTTATAACATTAAAATGTTTTAACACGCTAAACACACATTTTGATTTTATTCCTGTTGTTTTGACATCTATGTTTTCAATATCCTGCGAATAGCTTAGTTCAGTTCTTAATTTTTCAATCGGCACTTCATAGCAAGAAGCTGAATATGCTTTTAAAGTTTTGCAAAATCTACAAAAAAAATTTGATGAAAAGGAAGTTGTGAAACCTAATATACTATTTAAACCTAAATTATCACCTAGAATTAAGCCCAAAATAAAATGTATTTTTTGTTTTACTCCATTAACGGAAATAGTTAAGCCATCGGTTTCTAAGTCCTTTAAAATGTATACGAATTTATATACACACTTTGAATTTCCAAATGATTTTATGTCAGCTGACTTAAACAGAGCAGCACACAATATTTTGTTATATTCAAGGGGAGCAGTTGGAAAACTTAAGTAAACTCCGAGCAATGGTGCTCGATGAGGACCCAAGGGATTATTTATTTCAAAATCATCTACATAAATATGATAAGGCATTAAAAACATATTTGTATGTTTGTAATCAGCCTTAATTTTTTTCCAAAGTAATCCGTTTACAAAATATGATGCGCTATCTTGGTTTTCTAAAAATTGTAACCTGTTTTTAAAGCTTTCAAAAATGTTTGGCAATTCAAAAAATGTTGGTTATTGAAATTTTAAAGGCAAAATGAAACCTTTTGATTTTTTTTAACCTAATGTGATTTTAAAGTTTTTTTCGTATTGGGACAACTTCATTATTTAATGTTATTATGTTC